CCTTCCCAGGGCTCCTTAACCCAGAGTCCTTTCAGGGCCTAACCTAAGGTATCCTCGTGTCCCACCCCCACCTGATAGGCTTCACTGGACAATGAAGTATTTGTGTCGTGAGCGGCTGTCCACAGTGCCAGGTACAGCTGCTGGCTGTGATTTCTGCTTAAATTCCATAGATTAAAAGCTGATCATACTTGGATCAGCATGGGAGAAAACTGAAGTAGATGTGAACAGGGAGGGGGCAGGTCTGGAGTGAAAACTTAGCACTTACTGAGTGGACAAGGGTGAGCCTGCCGGAAAAGTGAGTGCCCTAGTGGCTGCGTGCCGTCACAGTGGGGGGAGGGGCCTTGGGCGAGCCCTAAGCTCAAGACACTAATTTTACAAAAGAAAAGACTGTTGGGTGCTGGAGTCCCACTGCTCTGCTTTCTCAGTCAGCACTTTTATCTGCAAAGTGGGTCTTTGGGAAGAAAAAAAGTCTCATCTGCTTCATAAAAGGAGCTCTCAGAGATAAAGAAAAAGAGATTATCCCAGCTTGGGGTTGGGGCGACTTTGAGGCCAGAGAAGCCAGAGTTCAAGGTCAGCCTGGCTCACCTCGTGAGATTCTGTCTAAAACAAATGGCTGTAGAAACTGTTGTGAGGTGGACGGAAGACGGTGACGACGCTGGCTCTGAGGATGAATGATCCTCCAGCTACTCACAAACCTCCCTTGGTGGCTTCTCCTCAGAGGCAACGTCAGGTTCCTCAAACAGTACTGCAAAAATCATTTAAGCCATCATCTGCGAGAGGGGTGAGGCAGCGGTCTTCTTCGATAATTGCACATTTATGGTGTAAATTTGTGCAATTATCTAACCTTTAAGTTGTCTTTTTCTTGACAACAGTGGAGATAGTAATGTGTACTTCAGACATTCAAGACGAAATGAGAACTCTCCGCGTAGTTTCTGGCTCTTGCGTGGGGATTCAATAAACGTAGGTTTCTGTTCTGAGTGGGTCCAGGCCCTTTCTCTGACTAGCTACACATTCCGTATAACTGTTGATGTGATCACTCTCCAAGGGGACAACTATCAGCATCCCATCAGCAGATACAGTCAGCTTTAATATCTGCTATTGCTAACTCGGTGCGGAGACTCCACAGACGAAAATAAACATACTTGCTCCCTCAGGAGACTGAACTGTGAACAGAAAATAACAGTGCCATGTGACAAGCTGCGGGGACAGAATGGCGGCGGTGGGAGTGGGAGAAGAGCTGGAAAGGTGGCTTGGGTAAGTGATGGAAGGCTGTCCTGGGAAGGCTCTGGGCCCCACAGGGAAGGAGGGGGAGGTGGCAGGTGGAAGAGGATGAGGTGGGGGAGGACACAGGAGTGAGGAAACACATTTTGTATAATGAGGGGCTATTTTTGGAACTGCTGGAACAATAATTGAAAAAAAAATTAAAAAGATCTTAAGGACCAGAGAGAGGACAGGTGATGCTGTCAGCAAGAGTTAGGACTTGGCTCCTGAAGATGTGGAAGCCAGGGAAGAATTCTGAGCAGAAAGGATGAATGGAAAGAGGTGGAGACAGTGACCCCACCAGTATTCCCTACCGGTGAAGTGAGGGTAGGCTAACCAGAGCCAGCCAGCCCACTCTATTTGGGGAAGTGGTCTGAACACGGCAGACTCTTATCTGATACAGGCTGTTCTCATTACTCTTCCTGTAGTCAGTCATTGAACAGGTAGGGAAGGCCTGTTGTGTCCCGAGGGTCGGCTGTATTCCAAGAATTAAGAATCGGGCAACACACAAGGACTGGCAAGGTCTGTGCTTTCAGAAGGGGGTTACAGATAGACAAGCAAGGACGTCCAATAACGGCTCTGTGCTGGAAGAGTTCTCACACGCTGCCCTCTCCCAGCTCGACGCTACTTCCTAGTCTCCAGTGGTCTGACTTTGCTTTTCCAAGGAGGCTTTGCTTCTACAAAGATTACTAGAGTAAATAATTAAACCAGTGTGTTGTGTATTTCCAGGGAGCCTTGCCTGAGCAGGGATAGTTAAACCTAGTTTTCCCCAGGACCCAATCAATCTTGATACTTGGTAAGTGAGGGCCATACATTCAAGATGTCATAAATCTAATGTTTTTAGGGAGGTCTCAGACTGCTCCCTGACCATAGTTCCCATGAAGCTAGATCCCCCTCCATTTCCTCTCTTCCCAATGCATATACACAGTCTTTATAAAGACAGCCTATTGAAATTGTGCAGGGTTCCCCAGTACAACATGCACACTTTAAAAACAGGCCTGTCTTTCTGGTGGGTTTTAAACTGAAACCCCGCTTCGCATGCACCTTTTCAGGCAGCTGGGTAGTACATCCTGGCAGCTGCCAAGCATAGCAGAGCCGGGGTGGGGGGTTATGAGGGGAACTGGAGACTGGCACATCACCTTTGGGGGTGTTGGCATGCAAGCCTTTGGTGTTCTTCGCGAGTGCCAAAGGGATGCCAGCCAAGAAGAAGCAAACATTGTATTAAAAGCAGCTGCCGACCCCAGTGGCTTGAAAAGGCAGATTTCTCAGTGTGCCCTGTGGTCTCCCCTAATTTAACACATTTACTCACTGTGGTTTTATTTCAGTTTTCTGTGATAATTTGCACAGGAAAATCCGGTTTTAGGATATTGGTGAAAGCTCCTCTCCCCAGTTTCTTTGAATTACCTGTTAGAATCTGTCCTCTGAGGGACAACTGTTATCAGGGGTGACTAAATTAGGACTTCAGCTCCAAGAGTAATTTTTTTAAAAAAAAATTCTGATTGAGAGAAACACTAATAAAAATTCTAACATTGTTTCTTAAGCAGTTTACACCTTATAAGCTACTTTTCACATTCCTTTGAAAATTATAAACAGAACTGAATGCTAATTTAGTTATCATTTTCTGAGATTCGTAATTGATCGGGCCCACGGATCTTGCAGGCCCATCCCTTCCATTCACCCACAGAAACTTATGTATTGGATACGCTCGAGGCTCTACATATTTTGTTAGAAATAAAGCAGGAAACCAGACAGACTTGTTTGCTACTCTTATGGACCTCCAAGGGGAAGACAGACATTAAACAAATAATTACATACAAGGAGTGTGTTTTTAAAAGGCACTGTAGGGGCAGTCAAGGGCATGACACCCTGGGAGGTAACCTGCGGCTGGGGCAGGGTCAGGAAAGGCCTCTGGTAGGAGGTAGGAAGTGATGTTAAAACTGAGGTCTAGGGGATTAGCAAACAATTTCTCCCAGGTTGAAAAGAACATGGCATGACATGCTGGTATGAAAGGCAGCATGGGAAAGGCGCATGCTCCATACTAAATGAGGGGCTGTGGATGCTGTATGAGGGCGAGTGCCCAGAAGGACACGGAGAGCATTACTAGAGCCAGACTTTTCAGATAAACAGGTGGAGGAGATTGAATAGGGGTCAGATTTTGTTTATTCTCCTCTCTCTTCCCAAGGAAGCAGCCTCCACCTGAAGTTTAAAAAAAGAAAAGGAAACCTTTTCTGCTGATTACTACGGGGTAGGAGTTCACAACAGTTAAGTACTGTTTTTCCAGAGGATAGGAGAGGAAAAAGACGTGAGAGGACTAGCTCAGGTTCACCATCAAGTAGCCAGCGGAGCTAACCTCTGAACATACAGTAGGCACCTCACTTTCCATAACTCCTCATTGTCAAAGCCGGCCCGAGCCTTGCTTTTAACAGTAATATTTATTCAGCTTGGGAAAATGGCAAAGGAGCATTGACTGAGGAATTTGAAATACCTCAGTGGGCAGAATGCCCTAGAGGAATGGACACCATCAGGCAGAAGGCTGCAGTGTGGAGTAGCAAGTACCAAGTGGCTTTGGGGGTCCTAGAGGCATGTTCTTCGGCGAGATGCCCTGAGCTAAATAACCACTGTCTGGCCCAGCCGGTTAATCATTTCCTGACCTTTGTTTTTCCTGCTTGAAGAATTGCTTCATCGGTCTTCCTTCTCCCTTGCTTGCCTTCTGTCACGAGGCTCCTTCACCAGGTAAAACAAAACAAAAAACCAACCCCCCAACTTTAGAGGCTAAGTTTCTGAGAGCCCCAGACATTCTCAAAAAAAAAAAAAAAAAAGTCACAGGCTTTCTCCCTAAAGAAGCTTGTCCTCTCTATCTTTCTAAAGAGAGATCTGGAGCTGGGGTCTAATCCTCCCAGAGTAGGTCTTACTCTCCTTTTCACTGGCAGTAAAAACGGGGGGCCGTAGCAGCAGCGTGGGAGGGTGTTTTGAAGCTTAAACAAGGTATGGTATGCAAAGTGACTGTCTGGGAGACAGTGGTGGGAATCTAACGAATATTACACTGCCTTTTTTTTTTTTTAAATCACCTGGTAACCCGGACCTTGTACAGCAAACCAGATTGTTACTTCTCTCAACTTCGAGAGGGACAGGTATGAGAAGTCTCACAATGGACACGAGATAACAGTGAGTCATAATAGCAGTGCTACACCCAGGTACACCGGCAGTCCTGCGGGCCCAGCCAGGCAGCAGCCAGGTGACGCGCTCAGACTACAGTTAGGAACCCAGAATGGTTCTGAACCGCAACCTGTTACACGAATAGTCAAAACTGTTCTGGGCTCCCTGCAGTCGGCTGGGCCACCGAGGGCCACTCCACAAGCACCCTCGTCTGTTTCTTCCTGTGTAAAATGGGGCTTCAATGCTTGTCGGTTGGAGGGTTGTTCATTTTCTGCACTTTGCAGTATGGCTACATCTTCTCTTTCTAAGCCTCCCAGATTCACTGCAGTAGACGCAGCGGTCCCGACTGGTCTTCCCAGGCGGAGAACCCACACTTGCTGGGGTCCCAGGAAGCTGCCGCCAGTAGCTCGGTGCAGTCGGGAAAGTCACTTTACAGCCCGGTGGGACAATCCTCCCGCGAACGGTGAGAGCCAAGGCCCCGCCCACCGGCTAATACGGAGGCGGGGCGGGCCCTGCCTTGGGGGCGTGACCAGTCTGGTGGGCGGGGCCGCTCGGAGAAGGCGGAAGCTTGCTGTAGCCGGGCGGCGGCAGAACCAGGAGTCCGGATTTTCATTCTCCGGAGCGGGGCGCCGGGATACGGCGGGTGGCAAAACCCGGCGCCCGGAAGCCCTTGCTTTCTTTGACGCAAAGGCTCGGGACGAAGCAGCCACCGTCTGCCCAGCGCCGGGCTAGGAGCGACCCCAGACGGAGCCTCCGAAGTCCCTCCGCCCCACAGCTTCGGCCGTCCCCGCCGCCGTCCTCGTCGCCATGGAGTGTCCGCACCTCAGCTCCAGCGTCTGCATCGCCCCGGACTCAGCCAAGTTCCCCAACGGCTCCCCGTCGTCCTGGTGCTGCAGCGGTGAGTGCGGCCCCGGGGCTGGCCGGCCGCGCACCCGAGGTCCCGGCTCTGGTCCGGGCCTTGCCGTCGAAGGGCCGCGGGCGGGTGGCTCGCGGCCTCGGGGGAGGCTGCGGGGAGCGGGCCGGGCGCGCGGGGTTGAGGGGACGCGGCGCGGCGCGGCGGGCGCGGCGGCGGCTCCTTTGTTTCGCGCGGCCCGACGGCCGGGCCGGCAGAGGAAAGGCCCGCGGGGGCCCGAGGCGAGCGCGCAGCGGTGGGGATGACGCGGCGGCCCGCACCCCGAGCCTCCGCGAACATAAGGGCTGGTCCCGCGTGTGGCGGGTCCTGGTTCGCGGTCCCCCGTGGGCCGGACAGGAAAAGCGCCGCTCTGTGGGCGCAGCTTTGTCTGGACTGCCGGGCGCGCGGGCCCCTTCGGGCTGCGTCTCCCCCGCCCTCCCCCCCGTTCCCACAGGCTCCTGTCTACCTCCCCCCCCCCCCCCCCGCACTCCCTGAGTCGACCGCGCTGGGGGCGGCTGATCTCTGAATCTTGCCTCAGCTTGGGAGGGTGAAGTTTGAGAACCGGCTGAGGGCTCCGAAAGCTCAGGGGAGAAGGCAGCCAGTAGCTGCTGGGGAAGGGGCAGCTCGAGTTTTTTGCCTTTCGAAGATTGTTCCGGGACGGACTTTCGTGTTGGTCAGGAGTGTGTTGGGAACGAGCACACGGTTGTGTGTGCTGTAAAACACTCAGGTTCATGCTACGATTTTGGGTTGCTTAAGTGTTAACTCCTTCTGGCTCCTCGGAAGCCCCGGTGCCCTCTCATTGTCTGCCGGGACTTAAGGTCGGACCGGCCACCCCGCTTTGATTACTTCCTGGTAGGGCCCTGGTGCCTTCGCTGGTCTTTGTTTATGAGCTTTAAGACCGCCCCTGGCAGCGTGAGCTGTAGTTTAAAATGTGGATAGTGAACATCAGGAATCAAGTTTGTTTTCAGTGCCCGAAGACGGTGGTTCAGCTGAGTGAGTGGTTTCTTCTGGGTTGGCCTGGAGCTCGGGAGTTAGACTGCTTTAATACTTTTGACAGGTTACTTCTTCGATATGTGATTGTCTTTGAAGCAAAACATGCGGGGTGGCACAAAGAAAGCTGTCTTCTAGGATTAGAAATAGAAGTAACTGTAGTTTTCCGGAGCTCCAAGACTTGGTGACTTGCTTACCTTTGTAAAAGTCAGGTGTCTTTTTCCTGCATGAAGACTTTAAAAATTAACCAGTTGATTGGTTTCACCGGGCAGTAGTAGCAGTTCCTTTGGTTTGCAAGGCTGGGTCTCTATTATGGCCTGGGGCGACCTAGAATTCGTAATTTTTCTGTCTCAGCCCTTAGAGTGCTGGGATTATAGCATGTGCTACCATGTGGGCCAGTATTGCAGTTCTTTGTGGGAACGCAGGAACTTGTGTAAATGGATTCTTATCTGTAAATGCATTTTTAACAGTGAGTCTTGAGCTTGGAACATAACAAAAGTGTATCACACGTGGACTGGTGGTGTGTTAGCTAATTAGTTATAGCTGAGTTTTACTCGAGAGATTTCACACACACGCACACATGCACACAACCACTAAGAAAAGCATACACCTCACAAGGAATGGGGCACTTCCTCTTGTTCATCTGTGGTCAGCTACAGGGATTCAGAGGTGGCTGTGTCAGAATAACCTGATTCTTTTTCCTCCTATGTAAGATCACATCAAACTTAGAAATGGCTTCATTGTGCACATGCGTCTAAAAAAAGACAAGAATTATGCAAGTGGCAGATATCCTGTCGTGAGTCAGTCTTGCCTCTGTCAGTCAGGGAGTCCATTTGACTGGGGAAAAGAGTTGCTGCAAAGCAGGCCTCTCCCGAGGAATTCAGCGCACTGAAATGAAGCACAACTGGGAGGTTCGTGCTGACAACAGGAAAGAATTAGTAATGGAAGGGTGATCTCTGTCCCGGGCAGAGGGTGGCATCTTTACAGCTACAGCCTCTGACCCTGCTTTGGAAGGGTGGGTCTAATCACTTGCATTTGTAGGACCAATAAAGCTAGTTTCACAACTCTGTGGGTGTTTTCTTCTGTCCAACCCCATTTCATGTGGGCCTTCCATTTTAACCTTTTGGCACCCCTTCATTGGTATAGCCAAGTGTTAAAGGAGTAATCTTGTTCTTGCTTGCCTGTAGTTTCAGTAATTAAATGATTGGCAAATCTGTGATTCCCTTAACTAACTCATTTTCTTGGAGTGTTATGTGTCCTGAGTTTTTTTCGTCAACACTCCAGAATTTATTTGCTTTCAGTAGGCGATTAGAAAGGTAGCTCTGACTGGTGTCGAGTCTGATTAAACTCTTACTGAGGAGGGAGAAAATTCCTGTTTTGGCACCTGGACAATAAAAGTAATGCCCGTGCCTTATTTTCCTTGGGAGCTTGTAGTTATACCCCAGTGATACAGCCAAGCCGATTGCAAAAGATCAACAGCCTGGACTCTAGTGGGCAGTATCTCCTTGGACCAGCACTTCTGTGGCCTTGAGTGTCAGTTTCATTATGTCATCTGGAAAAAGGGCAGTGCTTTGCCATTACTTCTCAAGTCTTTGTTAGGATGAGCAAGATTTTGTGTCTGTGTGTGTGTGTGTGTGAGAGAGAGAGAGACAGAGACAGAGAGAGACACACACAGAGAGACACACACAGAGACACACAGAGACAGAGAAGCTTGAGGAACTGATGCTATGTAATTTATGACATCACAGACTCGAGCATTTTTATAAATAGGACTCTGAAAATTAAAGGTCTAAAGCCACTAAATGGAACCATACAGATTAGCTTTATGATGAATTGTGTTACAAGGAGGTAAGATTAGGGGTTAAGGAGTAGTGATACTAAAGAACTAAGCTGAGCTTCTTAGCCATGGAAGGCACTGTGGTATGTAACTGTATGCTCCAATACTTCAAACAACTTTTGTTTGCAAGATCCCTTTATGGTCTCAACATTTTTCAGAACCCCGATTATTTTGTGGTTTTTATCTATTAATATCACCATATTAGAAATCGACTTAGAACTGTAAATATTTACTGGTTTAATTACAAGTAACAATAACAGACCTAATACTTAACAAATGAAAGTTTATGCAAAACTTTCTCAGAACAAAAATTGAATGGGAAGAGTAGTTTCTTAAGCATTTATGTTTTTGCAACTTTATCTTACTGGAAGACAGCTGAACTCTCACATCTGCTTCTGTATGGAGTCTCTTGAGCTATCACACCTCATGTATTATAGAGAACACTTCACTTTGTGATCTTGAGAGATCGAAAGGAAACATTCGAAGTAATATAGCAACATCTCTTCCTTTTTTTCTGTCGTCCAGTATCCATGAAAATACCTTTGACCTTCTGGATCCCTTGAAAAGGGACCCCTGAGATCTTAAGGTTCAAGAGCCTACTTTGAGATCTCGTAAGTAAAATGGTTAGGGACACCTGTTCTTATCAAACTTGGTGTTACAAAATTAGATAAATTCATGAAGCTGGCAATAGGGATCTATTTGTAGAGACTGAAGTTTCAAGTACGTGGGGTCTGGTGGTCCCTTGTGCTCAAAAGAGGTTAGTTTAACCTAGTTGGAAAGTCAGGAAATTCTCTGGTGTTAGAAGATAAATCCATTTAGTGGTTGAAGATAAATGTTGAAAATAGCAAATCTCCTAATAAGGTAAAACCTGATTTATGCCTAATGTGGCTAAGGGCATTCTGGTTTTAAATTACTAAAGTTTAAATCAAAACTGGGCCAGTCCCTCAAGCCTGTGTTATGTGTCCATACCAGATGTTATTTTCAGAAGCTAGAGGCTTGGGCATTCCTGTTCAACCAGTGACAAAAGACAGGGCTGAAACATGAAGTACTTGCTAGGTGGTGGTGGCAGTGCATACCTTTAATCCTAGCAGGGAGGCAGAGGCCGGCTAGTTCTGAGTCCAGCCTAGTCTACAGAGCTAGTTCCAGGAAAACCAGGACTACACAGAGAAACCCTGTCTCAAAAAACAAAACAAACAAAACAAAAAACAAAAAAAAAACCCAAAACCAACAAACAAAAAAACCCAAAACAAAAACACAAAGTGCTTTAAAAAATACCCTAAACACAATTGTTTTAAAACTAAGGAAAGCCAAGTACCTGAACTTTAGGTTTTCAAAGTACTGTTTGCTTTGGAGCTGTTTTTCTAAAAGTTATGTGGCAGCTCTAAATTTCCAGCGCAGTATCACTTTGTATCACTCTAGTAGAGAAAAAGGAGCGATTGGCTTGGTCTGCAGTTTTGTTTGCAAAGGTTATTGAAAATAAACCTTTATTTTATTTTTTTAAAGGTCCTTTTAGTAGGGTGAGGTGCTGACTAGTTTTTTGTTCATGGTAATAAATTTGTAATGGCTTGATCAGTTTGTGATAAAGGTAAGAAGCCATCTTGGTGGAGTAATGGGTTATTTTGTATCCTCTTTTCTCTCAGCCTACTTTTAAATATGACTAGTTTGTCCCTTGAACTGAATTTTCTAAATAGGATGTTATTTAGTTCATGAGGTTGAATGCATTACTTTTAAGTAGCATCTTGTGGTGTGTTTACTAGATGTCTTCAGTGATATATTCAGAAAATGCTTGCTTGATGAAGTTTTTCATGTAGATATGAAATGATCTCTAACTTCATGTTGAGAATAAATGTAGATGAAGTACATTTACTTCCCAGAATGCTTTTTGTAGCCTTCCCTTCCTAATATGTTAGCCAGTAAACTGAGCTAGATTGTAACCAATTGGCCATTTAAGACCTTGTTAACATAAGAATTTGTAGTCTTCTGACAGTGTGGGCATATACATCGGCAGATGTAAATGTTAGTTTTTGTTTTGTTTTGGTTTTCCGAGAGGTTTCTCTGTTTATCTTTGTCTGTCCTGGAACTGACTCTATAGACCAGGCTGGCCTTGAACTCACAGAGATCCACCTGCCTCTGCCTCCCAAGTTCTGGGATTAAAGGTGTGCACCTCCACGTCCAGCGA